CTTAAACAATCTATTCTATCTTTATATGCCTCAGTGCCCAAGCCGCAAGCCCCGCCCCAGCACGAACGCAATACCTCATTCGGATCATTTTCCCCTCAACCGCAGCAGCTAGCTCAATCACAGTCAGATGCATTTGGTGGCCTTGCCAATGCTTTTAGTGGTTTGAGCTTTCCTTCCACCACACCCGCTTCTCCTCCGCCTCAAGAACAAGATGCGTTCTCGAACCTCGGCTCGTCTAGTGCTCCCAAATCCCCGCCCACCGCACCAAACATTTCTTCCCCGCCATTGAGTGGTGGTGGGTTTTTTGATTCTGGCCCAAAACCACAGAGATCGAATAATCCGTCTATCTCTTCTGGACGGGATTTCAATCCGGTTGGGGCCACAATGGGATCAACGAAGGCGACAGCAGCTCCTCCCGCGACTTCAACTAGTTCCTTTGACTTGTTTTCCTCCATGTCGATCACTACTCCCGCGTCTCCTCCCGCAGGTCCACCAAAAACAGAGAATTCAAATTCTATCTTCAACCTCTCGGCACCCGAAAGACAGTCCGCGCCTGTATCCCCACCAACCACCACTGCAAACGTCAGTAGCATGCTCTCAAGCAGCGCAATAGACCCGTGGGGCGGGAATGCTTGGAATACGACGGAAGCTACTTCCCCAACTAACAAACAAACCATTTCATCGATGATGAAAGTCCCGGATAAAATCACTGCCAGCGACATTGGCTCTGGATGGGGATCACAATCACCCACTTCTACGACTAAATCAGCGCCGACTGTTGCCGTTGATGAAGATTTTGGTGGATGGACAAGCGCTCCTCCGCCAATTCCGAACAGCAATGCCACATCGAAGCCAAGGCCGGCCGGAGGTTTTTCAGGAAGCGATGATTTGTTTTCTAATGTTTGGGAGTGAAGAAATACTTTATCATTTTGTGCTTTCTTGTCTTTTTCTTGCGAGCCTATGCTGTTTTTAGACATCTATTTACCACGTATGCAATCGATTCATTGGTAAATGTTTGGGGTTGAGCCTGTGTTGATTTTAGCACTTATGGTAACTGTCTGCACCCCAGATTGTGATTCCTTCCCCTTGGCCATCTCCGTTTTCATAGTTAGCTGGCATGTTTTTCGTGCACCGGTCGTTTATCTCATTCATACACAGCGGCTCATCCCTGATGATCAAGGGGCATGATGTGTCATGTAGAGGAAAATGCATAAACTGAAACGAAAAGAATAGTTCAAAAATAATTACATGTTCGAAGTAGCAGCTAGTAATCAAATCTCACCATGCAACAGAATGAGTGCTCGCTAACTCGTAAAGCGAATGTCTATGGGAGGTATGTGTGTGAGCCAACATATCCGTTGGGAGAGGAAGACAAAAGGATATAGATATGACGGAAAGTTCCGCTCCCCAAATTTATAACAGAGCAAGCTTCCAAACAATGCGGTTTGACTCCACAAGACACCGGAACACCAAACCGAATAAGAGAAATAAATATTACGACACGACACCGCGAGTACGTTCCAGCGAGACCGACCTGTCCGAGGCACAGGCCCCAGCCCACTAGGCACATAACAACCGAAGGCCTAATAATAATAACTCCCTCTGGGAATCATGGAGTGTGCGCCACTACCCGCCTAGCAAGAATAAACGACGTAAGAAAAAGAAAGAAAAAGAAAAAGAAAAGAAAAAGAAAAGAAAAAAAAGGGCAGGAAGATAAATAAATTGACTTCCGCAATACCCACGTCACCCGCTGTGCAGTATTTCAAAATATCCAGCCCAAAATAATCCACAACAGGAATCCGGCTACAATGACAATTCCCGCGATTTTGAGTACGGCAACTCTATCCCCCTGTCTCGCCATCCGTGTTAACCGACCGGCACTTCCTCTGATATTAGTCGATAGCGACGAGAATACTTCGCTCTGTTATGTTGTCGATATTGGCGATTAGTACTTGATCAGATCATCAATATGTAGGGGACCGGATATACGTACAGTATTATCAAGCGTGCTGTGATCCCGCGCATGATCGTAAATATCTATCGTGACCGATTTCAATGCATTGGTCTTTTGCGAGAGGGAGTCCAGGAGGGCATTGTTTTGTCTATTTGTTAGTTGGGACGCTGTGTTAGCCGCTGCTCTTCTTTATCTAGTTTTACCACTTGCGTCTCTCTTCCCCCGACCCGTGCATAGCATGGCCTGGAACAGAGTGGCGAAGAAGATATGACCAGGTGCTGACATACTGTTCCCGCACGTAGGCGTCACTCATTTTGAAGAGCGGAGGGAAGAATTGGACGATGAATAATGCTGTTCTTTTTGGCCCCGCAGAGTACAAAAGGGCACCTTCCCGCTGTTCGCTCTCGTCGACTCTGTGTTTTCCGTGAAATAATCTGAACGGTGTCTATTCTATACCGCGCTCTATTGCGGTGGCACTACAGCTTAACTAGCTGCGCGGAGAAGGGGCCGTCAATATCTAGCTCCGTACCGGGTGTCGAGTGATGTTCGAGTGATCGGGTTATGAACGCGGCGTCTCGGTGTTAGTTATACGAAAGTATGATATTTTGGAGTTGCTGTGCTCTCTACTCTGGTGGGAGCTCTTGGATCGAAGGTGAGCGTGGATGGTTGAAGTTGCAGGCCCCGAAGTGATTATCATGTGATACGGATACACTACGCTAAGCCCCAAAGTGATTCATCCATCCATAGCACCACCCAGGCAGTTTAAATAATAAGTAGGTCCAGTACATATCGCGAATAATGAAGTCCATACGCGGCAAGATGTACGATGTGGACAAAGGCATGCAAAAAGATTTTAAGACTGTTATGTGGGTTTCCGTTCCCCTATAGAACTTGGCTTCAGTAAGAGCTTGCCTGTATTGTATTTGAACTACGTCGCCCAACATCATGATGATTTACTATTTGTTGACCAATTTCATCAAGGATACTGGCGGAGCCTTCTAGATGAAGACAGGACCTAACCAAAATTCAACCAAAGGCAACAACTGCTGCCGTACATGTCTTGCAAAGTTCATGATGGACAGCCCCGTAACGATGGCTTTACTGTTTAAGAATGTATAGAGCCACTCGGATTTGCTTCATTTCTCAGTCCTCATTTCTCCATTCCCTTCCTTTGCCTTTGACTGAGGTCCACCAGGGCTTATTTACTTCTAATAATAGCAGTCACACCTGGCGATATGGCGTTCATACAGATTGAATACACTGAGCAAGTCCTTGTAACTGATCTGTATATACATATATGTAAGTACGGGTCAAGACAACAGCTGGACATACGACGTTCAACTTTGGAAGTGATGAAGAACATCATGCTCATTTGCTGGTCAGAAAATGTCGCACACCCTTGACCACAATGTTGTCCCGGGGGGTTGGCCGAGGAGGGTAGGGTAGGGGAGGACACTCCAAGCCGCGCTCCCTCCCCGCTCCCCTTGAAGCTCTTTGGGTATGGTGTAGCCGACTTTCGCTTTACAAAACTACCCTAGACAGAAGAGGTAGGTCATATTTGGCATATGATGGAGGGGACAAGTAGAAGGTTTAAGTAGCAAAACGTCAATTGAGAGGAGTACATTGTAACAGCCATGTTGGATGCAGTATTAATATTACCTCCCTAAAAACGGCGGCTAACGGGCAATGGAATAACTAGCGCTTAATCCGTCCAATCAATTGCTAGGAGCGGTTGCGGCTCCGCCCCACAACCTTTGTGCCGCGAGCTAAAATTGACACACCAATAATCCGATCATTGCTTGTGTTTCAGCCTTCTTGCTCCCTCCGCACTTCCCCTCCGCACTTTCCTCCGATAGGCGCTATTATCCAAGCACTCCCAACCACATACAGTGTAGGAGCACTTTTGCGCCAATCACTCTTCCTTTTGGGCATTATTTCAAGTCTTTACCTGTGGAAGGGGGGGTAGAGGACGGCGATCCCTAAACTTCCAGCTAGAAACATTGATCCATTATCCTCTCCTTTGTCTCTCCTTTGTCTCTCCAACACTCAGGCAACATTAATAAAATCTGTTCCTAGAAAGTGGTTGACACATTCAAGATTCTAGGTCAGTGATAAATAAAAGTAAAAAATAAAAAATAAAAAATAAAAAAAGGGGTCGGACAATAAGCTGTGTTCCTGTTGTCCTGAATACGTACATGTAGAATATATAACTAGTTACGGACGATTCAGGGGGAGCGGAAGAAAAGTAAAAATAATACAAAAACAACAAGAATACTACAAAACCGGCGAAGTTAAATGCCACCTAGGACAGTATTCGTCATAGCAATTTTCAAAATTTTCAAAGGGGCAGAGGAAATAAAAAAAGAAAAAAAGTGCGAGATGCGCAGAGAGGGAGAAATACAACACCACGCCAAAATAGCAAGACACGAGAAAGCGACGAGTGAAAATGTTACTTGGGGTGTTAGGGCCATGAATAGAAGACGCCTGGTAATAGAAGACTAGGAATGAGGTATAATAGGTAAACTTGCCAGCTTTGTGAAATAACAAAGATGAGGGAAAAGAAGAAACGAACGGAAAGGGAAACAAAAACAAATAAGTGGGTGGAAAATAGAGAAATTTGGAAAACAAAATCCTGCCGCTATGCCATCAACAAAGAAAATCAGGAAAAGGAAAAAAGAGTAATGTCATAATTGATTCAATAAAGAAAATAGTGCAGGAAGAAGACGAGAGGGGATCCGGGTGCGATTTCCAAAATCTAACCAGAACGGAGTAATCTTTATGAAATGCCGTCGTCGGGGGGGGTAACTGGGTGCATGGAGAGCGGAATCAATTCTAGGCTGAGGAGGATATTGAATGTGGGGAATACATTTGTGCGCTTAAGGTTATCTCAGTGGATATCGAGGGAGATATGGCCCATGGGTATAAATTAAAGTGGGACACACTACGAGGCAAAGGGTAATAGGATGATTGGTTGTTTGGGCAGGATGTAGTTGAGAAACACTGGAAAGATTAATTTCCCATTATTCGAAATGTTGGTTTCGCCATATCACCACATGTCATCATCGTCGTCAAGTTGTGCCTCATCGCCGAACGAGGACCGCGAGGCTCCATATTGCTGCCGCTGGTTCGATCCATGTGCGGATCCGTTTTGAGAGGAGGTACCCCGTCCTCCAGATTGAGACCAATGATGGTCATCTCGGTCATCGCTATCATAGTCATAGTGGGATTCGTTATAATATGACCCATTATTGTAATTATCATGCTCTCGGCTCTGCAAAGCAAATATTTGCGGTTAGAACAACTTGATAATACGAAGCGTAGGAAAATGGACACATTTGGGTCCGGAATAAATACTCACCTGATGCCGCTGGTGTTGAGAATGGTCCTCGGATTGTGAGTGTTCCCTCTTACGGTGCTGAGCCTGTGGAGCAGAGGAGATACTTAATGTAGGATGCATTTGTTGTACTTTGGCGAGGTACGAATACATGAAATTGCTTAGCAGAACTTGCGAATGTAGCGCACGTTTTGGTTCTGCGAGTTTCCAATGAGCATAGCGGTAAATTTCTCTTTCTTTGGAAATAGGAAACCTGGTCCAGTTATAATCGATATCCGGTTTGAGCTCGCGTGGTTGCGGTTCGGGCGAAAGTGTCCTTGACGAATGTTTCTTCTGGCTATAATCAAGGTTTCCTTTCTTCTTTCCTCCAAATATGGAAGAGAATAGGCTTGGCTCTTTCTCCTTCTTTGATTCATTACCAGCGCCCCGCTTCGCAGTGTCTTTCCGGCGTTCTTCTTCCAATCTGACCTCCGCACGGTCGATTACGACGCTCTCCCGGCCTGTTTGCGCTCCGTCGATAGATGCCTGCAAAAGATCTAGACGGGTGTTGTCATGTACCTTCTCAGCTATTTTGGGCATTCTTCCCTTAGACCTTTTGGACTCGTCCTCCTTTTTCTTGTCCTTATCCTTTTCCTCGGATCCTCGACGCCACGTCCAGCTCGATTTCCGGCCACCTTCCCCATCCTTTTTATCTTTCGATTTCTTCGAATCCGACTTCTTATTGGAGCTGTCTGTCAGGGTTGGGATGAAGGAAAGCGTATCCGTTCGCGTGCTGTTTCCAGGGAGCGCTGCCGGGTGAGAAGCAATGTCATTAATCGTCTGGGAACTTTCCTTTGCTGGCCTAATAATTCCGGCTCGTTTGGAGCTCCTTTTTCCAATAGGCTCAGGAGGGAGGGGTGCTTGTGGAGGTTGTGATGGAGGCGGGTCGTGCGAAGATTTCCGTACGGGAATATGGTTTGGCGTAGAAGCCGTAGCAGTAGCTGGTGATTCTTTCACGTCTGCTGGCGGAGTTTGTATAATTTGATGCACGTTCTGCGTTGCCGCGGATGGCTCTAAATTTGAGCGGTCATTAAGGTCCCATGATGACCGTGTCTGTGACGGCGGGGTAGAAGCAGTCCTATTGCCAGAGGTTAAAGGATCTGAGTTAGATTCGCCTGACGAGATAGAGAGATTGTTAGTAGCCGAGCTGGCTGGCGACCAGTTAGTTGGCCGCGAAAAGCCAGATGTGCCTCCATGCGTTGGGTCAGTCGCAACTCGAGTTAGTCCCAGGATAGGCGGTTCTTCTTCGCCTAACGGGGGTGACCGTCGAGCGACAGCTTCAGCGTCAGGGTCGGACTGTCTTGGTGCACGTCTCGAGTACGGGATCCGATCTCCTGTTTTTAAGCTCCCTCTACGGTAGGTTGTCCGGGTCGATCTCCGCAGGCTATGGCCAGGCGGAGCAGGCGGTAATATAGGTCTATCGTCTACCATTGAATCCTTCGCACGCCTTTGTCCGACGGAAACCTCCTCTGATACTGAATCAAGCTGATTTCCTTCATTCTGGCCTCCCGAGCCCGAGGTATCTATTTGTCTTGATAACATGGATTTCTTCCGCCGCAACCCCCCAGTCAAACCTTGTACTTGTAGCTCCGAATCGGTCATGGTAAGTTCGCCGGATCTTCGCTTTATTTGCTCTGCTTTGCCATCAAGAAAGCTCTTGAACTCTTTGGGTGCCAATCCCGGGTGCAGGCGCGCGGGGACCCAAAATAACTGCGACGCATCATCGTCAGACTCACCCGAAGGGGGAATCGGAGGAATACCAAAATTAGAACCGAACAATGGGAGGTCCGGGTCAGCAGCCCCTACGTCCATCGACATTCTCCGGAGAGCAGCCAAGTTGCTGAGTTCCTGCGCCACGGCAGCAGCAGGATTAGACTCATAGTCTATGTCGTTTAGTGGGATAGATTTCGAGGTGGTGGTCGAGGGAGAACGGGTTAGCACCTGTGAGCATGGGCCTGTACCATCTCGATCACTTGAGCCCGGTTCCGCCGCAGACTGGCGATCGGAGTCATTGGAGGCGGACCTGTCTATTGAACTGGTTCTGAGAGGAAGCGGTCGCTGGTAATTGTTCGAATCTGAAGGCTGCGGTAGATTCTGTCGACGCGGGGAGGTAACAGAAAGGGATTCATTCATAGAGGAGGGAGTGAAACTTAATCGTTTCGAGTCCCTTTTGTCGTAATCATCGCCATACATGTAGCCAATTGTTTCCGTAACGTGTTGGCTATCATCGCTGATAGATAGTTGTGAAGCGCGGCCTCGTCGTGCAGAGTATCCTCCACTGTGATCATAGGGTGGTGAAGTCGAGGTCTGCGAAGATGGGCAAATATCAGCCTGTCCGTTCAGTATGTGGTTTAAACGTAGCGCGTGCGCTCGGAATAGCTTCAAGGTGTTCAAAATCGCTGGCAGGGAAATCAATGAGGAATTGGAGTGAAGAGACGAGCAGCACGCCAGACAAAGGAGAGATAACTCGGCCAAGTCCCCTCATTCGTATGAGTCCTCAGCATCTGCCGATCTTCTCGTAAACGGAGAGGCTTAACCCAGACCAACCGTTTTTGGTGATCAGGGGCAGCAGGGAGAGCGGGGAGAGCGAAGGGAGTTCGAGGGAAGAGAAGAGGGGACGGGGCTTGATCGGCCACCTTGTAGGAGCAGATCATGTATGTAGAGTGCCACAACTTTGAAATAGCAGGGGGATTTAAAATGAGTAGATAATAATGCGCGACCAAACTCACCTGCATCATGGAAGCAGCCAACAGACTGGAGAGCCGCAAGCGGGACACGGGGATAGAGAGAGGAACGAATGGAGGACGAGAGACCACTGGAAATGGGCGATCGAGCGGACAACTTGGGGGAGAGAAGAAGGGGAGGAGGAGGGGGGGGGGGATCGGCGAAGCGCCAAAAGCGAAGGGGATTCAAGGAGGAACTGTCATCGAAGCGCGGGCGAGTGAGGACGAGCAGCGGGCAGCGGGCACGAACTAAACAAGTCGCATAATACCATCCACAACAGAGCGAGAGCGACGCTAGGATGAGGGAAAAGCGAAGGGAACGGTGGCCGCCATGGGTCGACAAGAAGCCACAACAAGGAGAGGATGTGAGATGAAGGCGAAAATATGGAGAGTTGGAGAGTTGGAGAGTTGGAGGTTGGAGGTTTGGAGAAATGTCAAGGAGGTTGAGTGAGGTTGAGTGAGGTCAAGTGAGGCGTGGTAAATAAATAAATAAATAACTTGATTAATTAATTTGGGGGGGGGGGAGAGAGTAACTATTTAGTTAACTATATACAACCCAACCAACCATTAGTTACTGATCACTTCAATAATAATTTATCAGTGTTATCTATGAAGATTCTATAGTTATAGATATTTATACAACAGTCTAGAATAACTTATTATGATATATTTTCACTCAGCTGTATTCTTTATGCTGTAATGTAATTAACCACCTAACGCTTGTTTCCACCTAACACTCGCCTTTGTAAATCAATTACAATCAACTTCAAATATTCATATCTCAATGAATATTTATTTAAAACTATTCTAAAAAACAGAATAATAATTTGTAGATATATATTATATTATATTAAATTTCTATGAGAAAATAACATATAATTATTAATTTATTAAGCTTTTTAAAATACTATTTTAAAATAAAATACACAGTCTATATTTGTAAATATATTTATAAGTATAAATTATTTTCATATAAAAATTAAATATCTTATAGATTATATATATTTTTAATAAAATATAAAATTTTATATTTTAAAATACTATTTTTGTAATAACTGTGTATTATTTATACTTTAAAATTGTAATTTAAATAAATTATTATATCAAATCATTTAAATATATTTATATTTAATAAATTATTTTTCAAAATTTAAAATTTCAAGAATTTTCAATATTTTACTTGTAATTTATAAAAAAAATATAATAAAAAATTAAAAAAAATTCTTAAAAATTCAAATATAGAATTCTTATATAAAATAATTTAATATTTATTAAATTATTATATATTTATATAAGAATTATTATTTTCAATAATATATAATATATATTTCTTAATTTATAATAAAATATTATATATTTTATTTTACTGTATTTTATTTTCTAATTGAATCTATATTTTAATCAATTTTAACTATACTATAATAACTTTGAATTATATTATACTATAAGTCTTGATATTTATAGATTACAAATTAAAAAAATAAAATAATGAATATTTATTAAGATATTAACATTTAAAGTTGATTATAATTGATTTACAAAGATGAGTATTAGATGAAAATAAGTGTTAGATAATTAATTATGTTAATTACTCTGTAGATTTATTATTAACTAACTATTTAATTAGTAAATCTTTCTCTAGAAAATAAATAATTATAATAAATAATTATATTAATAATAAATTACTAGAGTTATTAAATGAATAAATATTTAAATAGTGTTTTTTCAATATTATTCTATTATTAAAACATTTTTAGAACTTTAAGAATAAAATAATAATAATAATAATAATAATTACTTTCTATTATTATAAGTAGCTTTGTAATTACAAAGTTCTGTATATATATACAGTAGTTAGTTACAGTAGATAAATTATGTATAGTGTGACAGGCTGCGCAGCTGCGTCTGATTAATTATATAGATTATTTTATTACACTTTATAGATTTTATTAAAAGATTCAATTCTCAGTCACTGATTCTCAGCTGAAAAACTCATGAAATTTCTATTCTTCTATTTTAAAGCTTTATTATATACATGTATAAATATTTACTCTGATCACTGATTTCTGCACTTTCTCTTTTTTTCTTCTCTAATATTTTTCACTTTTGTATTATAAGATCTATAAATATTACACTAATCTATTTAATGTAAATCTCTTATACTTGAAAAATATTCATTATCTTTTTATTAGAAATGTAAGAAATCTTACTTCTCATAGATTCTTTACTTCTTTTTTTATCTCTTATATAATTAATAGAGTTAGCAGCTCTTGATTACATACAACTATATAGACTGAAGTTTACAACTACAATTTATAACTCAGTTTAAATACTATTATATATTAATCTCTATATTTTATATTTCTACTATGAATACTTCTAATAGTTAATAGTTATATTATATTAAGTTATAAATATCTGAATAATTATCTATAAGCACTTATTATTACATTTCAAGCTAAGTCAGTCAGTAATTATCTATTATAACTGAAAGAACTAGAAACTTATATACTTTAATCTCTGTAAACTCTACTGTAGACACTCAGAAGCAGTTATCTAAATTATAAATAACTCTTATAAAAGAAGTCTCAGATGTGGCGGGCTGCGCCTGATCAATCATATAGACTATTCCGTACACTTCATAGATTCCTACTGCCCCATTCCCGATCGCCGATCCTCGGCCGCCACGAACGTGTATGTTCTGATCACCGATCCTCGGCTACTACAAACGCGCGTATATTCTTCCGCCCCGAAGCTCCACCGCGTACATCATCACATACATGTATAAATATTTATCTTGATCACTGATTCTTGCACTTTCTCTTTCTTTCCTTCTCTAACATTTTTCTCTTTGTTATATAAGATCTATAATATTATATCAATCTATTCAGCATAGGCCTCTTACACTAGAAAAATGTTTATTATCTTCTTATTAGAAACAATTATTCATGCATTATCTTCTTATTAGAGATAATTATTTATCAATATATCTGAATGTATAATAATGTGTAAGAAATAGAGAAACAGTTAAACAGTTAAGTAAATACTAAGTTCTCAGATAGAAGCTTATTTATCAGTCACTCTGACTCTGTAATAAGATCTTATAAAGAGAGTAAGATTTTATAAGAGAATATCAGTAAAAGATCTGAGAGTTCTGATATCTCAAATATATGAGATATTCATACAATTATAATTTCACAGATATTATACATCTGATAATCAATATAATCATGTCTAATAATAGTATGAGAGAACTCTTGAATACAAGTATAAATATAGTATTACAGTGACTCTGAGTAATATTGAAATTACAATAATAATAAATAGTTAATATGCATGTAACTCAACAACATTAATATAAAGAAATTCAATAATTATCTCAATAAGAAACTCTTATACAGATAATTTCAATATCTACAGAATTAAATATAAAAGTGCTGAAAGAATACTTAGATACTTCTGTATATTTTAATACTTTCAATCTCACTCTCTACTCATTATAAAGAATAAAAGTGCTTATGAAACTGAGTATGAATAAAGATGTTATTAGTTTGCTAATCAATCAAGATTAATATATTAATAAATAATTGAAGAATTATGTGAAATAGAAGTTTTATTCATGAATAAAAGCATGTGAATCAATATTATAAATATCTGATAATATTATTAAATATCTTGATATTCTGTTCTGAAACACTGCCATGCAACAGAAAGTATTAAATTGATTACAGAGTACTTAACAGAGAAACACTTCTCTTACAATATTTATCTCTGACTTCAATATCAAGATTCTAGAAGCAGATGATCAATCTTAGAAGAATCAAATAAAGATTAACATGCTTAAGAAGACATTGACTTTCAAACTCTTACAGACTCTTATAAGTATAGATGAAGATCAGACTTATGAAAACTTCTATACACAGCTTCAGATATTGAATAACTGTCTTATCAAGCTCAAGAGTATACAGAACAGTAACAGAAGATATTATATTTCAGTCACTTATATATCTATGCTGAAGAATAACAACAATAATACAGATACTATAAACTGAGTAGACTCAAATATCTATATATAAGCAAGAGTCTCTGCTATCTGAACAGACTTCTGAGTTTCTGAAATTACTTCTGAAGAAGTCACTAATCAATATCAATGTGAAGTGTGTATTAACTGTAACTAATCAGAACACATTGCTTTCAACTGCTAATCAATTTATATGTCTTCATACTTGAGAGAAAGATCAGTGTCTTCTTATTCAAAGAATGAATCAGTGTCTGTTCACATCAATCACATTACATTAGAGAAAGATTTGAAAGATAACTATAAGAATGTCTCAGTGAAATAGAAAAAAGATTAACTTCTGTTCAAATTTATAAACAGAAGCTTGATGTAAGAGGCCTACGCCGAATAGATCAGTGTAATATTGATAGGTCTTATATAACAAAGATAAAAACGTTAGAGAAGGAAAGAAAGAGAGAGTGTGAGAATCGGTGATTGAGATGGATATTTATACGCGTATGTGGTGGTGTACGCAGTGGAGCTTCGGGGCGGGAGAATATACGCGCGTTTGTAGCAGCCGAGGATCGGCAATTGAGAATGGCCGAGAATCGGAGCGTACGCGTTCGAGAATGAAGTGGTTGGAATCTGTGAAGTGTAATGGAATAGTCTATATGATTGATCGGGCGTAGCCCGCCACATTAGCCCCCCCTTCCAGAAGCAGTTCCCATCGGTCAAGGGCCGCTGTTTCAGATAATGCGGAACTCGGAGTCCAGGTCAGTTGATTGTAGCCGACCCATTTCACAAGATATTGCCGGCCGCGGCCACGGGGTCTCTCATCGAGGATATCCTCAATCTCCCACTCAAGCTCATTATCTTCTCCTATGATGCCTGGTGGCTGCCAGTCAGAAGTCAGTTGAGAAGGAAACGGATCGGTGGCGGCGCGGCGGAGCAAGCTTGTGTGGAATACATCATGGATCCCTGGTGGTGTGTCAAGGCGGTAGTTGTGACTACCTAGGAC